ATCAATCAATCAATCAATCAATCAATCAATAAAATTTGTTTCCAAGAATTTTAACAGTGTTGATACACTCCAAACCTATTTTAAGCACTGACTCTCTTAAGTTTTTCTCTTGTGTTCCCTTCCAGAAACTAACCTGCAACTTTGAGATCTGGTCCCGTCCTTGGCTGAAGGATACACAGCTGTTAAGCATGAACTGTTCCTAATCTGGATGACTGAGGCGGAATCTCACGTGCCGAGACCAACGCGGGGCAAATGTTTCTGAGTGTGACCAGCAGCCAAATAACTTCTTGGGTGCAGCTTGGTTTCTTCCAAACAACATCCCATGTATGACCGGCCGTCTGCAAATCATGAATTGAAATGGTTCATTCGCCTTTCCTGAGTTTCTGAAATTGTTCCATGACATACATGGGGGTCTTTTCTCACTCCTCAATTCCATCCTCTTTTCTATCGCCTTCGAGAAGACGAATCAATATTTTGTTAATTCAGTTAAGTCTTAATAAAACTATCATCATGATGTTCCGGCGTTGTGTTCCTTTCTTGTCCAAATCGCTTCCAACCAGGGGTGAAATCTAAATTTTTTCCCTACTGGTTCTGTGGGCGTGGCTTGGTGGTGGTGGGTGTCCTGTGACTGAGTGGGCGTGGCCAACTCGATGTCACTCACAGCCACGCCCACTCAGTCCCAAGACCCCCTTCCACCAAGCCATGCCCACAGAACCCGGTAGGAAAACTTTTTAAATTTCTTTCTCCTGTGGCTCTGCCCACCCGCCCCATTCCCCGGACTCCTACTGCTCACTTTTCTCCCGCAGCTGGCTGTCAGGGAAGGCAAGCGCCCGAAAGGTACTGGAGTCGCTCACTCTCCTTGCGGAGAGTGGACCAGAGCGGCTCATTCAAGAAGGAGAGTGAGCGACTCCGGTACCTTTCGGGCGCTTGCCTTCCCTGACAGCCAGCTGCGGGAGAAAGGTGAGCAGTAGGAGTCTGGGGAATGGGGAGGGTGGGTGGGTGGGCGGACCCTCCAGCTGCCATTGCTACCGGTTCTCCGAACCACCAGCCATCATCGCTACCTACTCGCCCGAGCCGGTCCGAACCGGGAGCATTTCACCCCTGCTTCCAACCTTCATATTTTCACACCCACAGCACAAGGACACAACCGCTTGTTCAAGAAAGCCTCTCACTAAAGACTTTGCTTTGTCCAGCTGGGGGAAATCGGGGTCTTCCGTGGACTTTTGCTTTGCCCCTTCATGTGTCATGGCTGCATCTCTCTCCTATCCAAGCTTCATGAGCTGACAGCCTGACATTAGCAACTGGGGAAGGGAAGACTGGACTGTAAGGAAGAAGGGGGGGGGGGAATGGAAGCCCAGCTGAGCCTTGTGAGAAGTTCCAGCCAGCCACGTTCAACTATCTTTATGCAGAGCTGGGAACAGAGGACCTGTTTCCTAAACAATATACAAGCACCTCTTTTTTTTTTTGCTTTAATTTATATGCCGCCCTTCTCCGGAGACTCAGGGCAGCTTACAATGCATTAAGCAATAGCCTTCATACTTTTGTATATTTTATACAAAGTCAGCTTATTGCCCCCACAATCCGGGTCCTCATTTTACCCACCTTAGAAAGGATGGAAGGCTGAGTCAACCTTGAGCCTGGTGAGATTTGAATTTGCAGTAATTGCAAGCAGCAGATGTTAATAACAGTGCTTTAGTCCACTGTACTACAGGCTCTTGTAGGCTCTTTGGATTCTAACACTCACCCTCTCCTAGGAAAATGAAATATTCGAGGAAATATTAAAAAGGCAGAATATTATATTTCCCTGGATGAGAAATGGAGTAAAATGTTTTTAGGCGGGAAACAGACTCACGCTTAATAGCCCCTACCATCCTCAATAGCCCACTGCAGATATCCACCCTTAAGAGATAAAGAGATAGCTAGGTCTATTCATAGGCAAATGCCCTCACCCACAATCAGTGGTGGGATCCAAAATTTTTTACTACCGGTTCTGTGGGCGTGGCTTGGTGGGCATGGTGTGGCTTGGTAGGTGTGGCAGGGGAAGGATACTGCTAAATCTCCATTCCCTCCCCACTCCAGGGGAAGGTTACTGCAAAATCCTCATTTCCTCCCGATCAGCTGGGACTCGGGAGGCAGAGAATAGAGAATAGATGGGCCAGTCAGAGGTGGTATTTACCGGTTCTCCGAACTACTCAAAATTTCCGCTACCGGTTTTCCAGATCTGGTCAGAACCTGCTGAAACCCACCTCTGCCCAAGATCTAACAAAGGTAGGATTAGTCCTCTACCCATCTAGCAACAGAACTCACCACATGGCACCTGGGAAGATTACATCACCAGCAAGAGTCAACCAAGCCTGGGACGCAGACAACCTACAGAGTTGCCCTTGCTTGGCCCCATTGGAGTCTGACAACCAATCAGAATACAAGCTCAAATTCAAAGCCCAACAGAGGGCATAAAACCTCAGCATCTCTGCTCCTTTTTCTGTTCAGGAAATTAAGCCATATGATCCTGTTCGTCAATAACAACTTCCATGAATCAAGTGTCTTTTTCCCCTACTTGGAACTGAACCCAGAAGGATACTTCTTCCAACAGGATATTTGCAAATAACTGGGGGATGGCTGGGAGGGAAGAGGGAATTTTCCTTTGTGTTATTTGCGCGGAAAAACCTCAGATTTGGCTTTGCTACTTCTGCAACCATTTAAGCTTCCGTAAACTATATTCTTGGCAAAAACAAATAGCCAGGAGTCTTTCTTTGCTAGATGACTGAGTGGGACGGTTGACACGATGTGGTCCTTTTTAACCCATGACTGTCCCATGACTCTGAGGAAGAGACGCCATCAGAGGTCTCTGAAGCATCCTTGGGTGGAATTGCAACAGCTCTCAGATGCTGAATGGTGAAGCAATTTGTTTGTTTTCCAAACTTCTGGGAACTCTGCAGTTGTTTGATGCATCTGGCAGGCTCAGCTATGTTTTGAGGGCCCAGGTGGATTTTCCTGTAGCCTGAAGAATTCTCCGGGTGGAAAGAGAATCCAAGGAATTGACCCACATGCCCTCCAGACAGGTGGTGGCATTTACAAGACGGTCAAAAAATGGAGTTTTTTCTGCCACTGCTTGAGCTGGGAGCTGGAGTGTCCATCAGGGTCCTTGGTGCTCAATCAGCTTGCTTGTTTTCTTGCAGACGTTTCATTACCCAACTAGAGAACATCATCAGTGCTATCCCAAAGGTGCTGTTTTTTTCTTCTTCAAGAGGCAACTGGACTCTTTGGTTTGTTTGTTTTTTTAAAAGACGTTTCGCTTCTCAGCCAAGAAGCTTCTTCAGCTCTGACTGGACGGTGGATAAATTATCTAGGTTTTATGATTCAATTTAATCTCTTTAGCCACTAGAGGGTGCTATTCAATATGCTAAAAAAAAAGCATCAGCACAGCATATTCCATCTAATAAAAGTTGGAACTTTTATTTTTAAAAATGGTTACAATCAGTGGTGAAATCCTCCACCAGTTTGCTACCCACCATGCATGGTGTGCGCCAGATGTGCACTGCACGCGCAGGCACCATACATGCTGGATGCACACTGTGTGTGCACATGCACAGTGCGCACTGGATGCACTGCATGCACAATCCACACCAAACGCGCACTTTTGGATTTCCTGCTTTTTTTTACTTTTTAAAGCATTTTTAACTACCAGTTCCGGAGAATCCTAAGAAGCCAAGATTGAGAAAATCAAAGCATTACTGGAAAGTAAATTGCATATGATTCATGTGGAGTGAACATGAACAAAAAGGAAAAACATTGGAAACTAAAGATAAGAAGTGGGGCTGGGATGTGGCCTCTTCCACATATTTCCAACCAATACGGTCCTGAGCTCTCCTTTGCCAGTTGGGTCCTCCGTACTTGCTGATGCCATCTTGCTCTAGGTCTCTTTCGTGGATGCTTTTTAATCCAGTGGGATCCATTCTACGACTGCCTTGGTCCCCCCCTGCCATCGGTTCTTCTTGCTATGGGACCAGCCCGTTTCTGTTTCCATTCTGTTACTCTCTTGATCATCATCATCATTTAACGACCCTTGCGGAGTGGAGGCTGGGCAACTGAATGGAGCTGAGTGTTTACTGGCCGGATGCCCTTCCTGTCACCAACGCCGAGTTTTGTTCAGCAGGTACATTCACATTGTGCCCAGAGATAGAGAAATAGCTGCCTCTACCTATGATCGAACTCACGGCCTCCCAATTGTGAGGCGAGAGCTCCACCTCTAGGCCACCGCTCCACTCCATCTTTTACCCTCTTGATGGCGTTGTATATTTTCGCATGTTCTCTAATCCATTTGCAGGTCTTCCTATCTTGTCTTCTGATGCCAAGCATGCATCTTTCCATGGCTTTTTGCGCCATGCGATGCTTTTGTATCGATTGTGAGGTGAGTGTCTGCGTTTCGCCGGCATACATCAGAACAGGTTGCACCAACCTGTAGCCAGCATCAAACTGGGCTACAAAATATTTACTGCAGGTTGGTTTCCCGAAGCCCCCTCCATAAAGGTCTTGTGTGTGCAGTCGGGAGATAAGGAGTGCCACAGGCGTGCCAGGCGAGGACAGGAGGCTCCCTTGCCCTGCCCACCTGACAGGAAGGCTGTCCTTGGTCTTCAAGCTAGGCGTGGCGAGCGAGTCACGGACACAGATCGACCGTCTCTTTCTCTTTTCCCAGCAAGTCGTCAGCTTCGGCTCCAGCGAGGATTTGGATAGTTGAAAGGAAAGCTAAAAGCTGGAGTTCCCTGGGTTTTTTTTTTAATCAAAAGGGTGAAAGGAAGAGAAGGCCAGAAGCAGCATCCTTGTGTCTACATCTCTGATTTCGTTGCAAGCGAGGCAGGAGAGCAGCTCCGGGTTTGGGTCTCCTTCTGGAAGATCTGGACAGATATTTTCTTGGGAAAAATATTGCCGCTTCATCCCAGCCTCCACTGTGCAATGGTCTGTGCACAAGGACCTTTCTGGGAATCCGTTTCTGCTCCAAGATGGATGAGAACGAGCTTTGGGGTCCCGGGTGCAATGTCAGCGTCACAAACGGGACCCCAGCGGGGATATTTGACTTGTTCAGCGATGACGTCGCCTTGGTCTCATCGGATGTTTCGTTCGGCATAAGAATATTCATCACCACGGTCTACCTGTTGGTGTGCGCGGCGGGCCTCTTGGGAAACAGCCTGGTGATGTACCTCATTTGGATCCAGAAGGACAGGTCCAGGACCGCCATTAACGTCATGGTCTTTGGCCTCGCAGCCGCCGACTTCCAGTTCTCCCTGATGCTGCCTTTCTGGGCCACAGAGGTGGCGCTGGATTTCCAGTGGCCCTTCGGCCAAGCAATGTGCAAAGCCGTCCCTTCCCTGACCCTTCTGAGCATCTACGCCAACGTCTTCTTGCTCACGGCCATGGGAGTCACTCGCTACTGGTCGGTCGTCTCCGCTGTGAAGGATGGGTTAAGGATGACACCCCGAGCGGCCAAGTGCATCACTGCCGTCCTTTGGGCCGTGGCAGTGGGAGCCACCGTACCGACAACCGTCTATGCCGGAGTGGTAAGCATTGCCGGGGTAGAACTCTGCCTCTTCCAATTCCCCAGCCCGTATCACTTGGGGATCTACCAACTCCAGAGAGTGGTGTTCACCTTCGTGATCCCTTTAGTGGTCATCTCGACTGCCTACCTCCACCTCCTCCAGTTTCTCAAACTTCACCACATTCCCAGCCGCAGCCTAACGCGGCATAACCAGGTCGCCGCCACCGTCCGCTTGGTGGTCGGCTGCTTCTTTGTCTGCTGGTTCCCTAACCACGTGGTCACTCTCTGGGGCATTCTGGTGAAATTCAGGGTTCTTCCCATGGACGACACCTTCCACTATCTCCACACTTACGTCTTCCCCCTGACCACTTGCTTGGCTCACGCCAACAGCTGCCTCAACCCCATCCTCTACTGCCTGATCCGCCGCGAGTTCCAAGAAGCGATGAAGGATACCTTCCGCAGGCTGTCCTCCATCGCCTCCTACCAGCTGTTCTCCTCCCACAAGACCTGGGAGGAGGGGGCGCTGGAGGTCCTGCCTCTCGGCCCCTCCGATCTCCCCCACAATCCTCAAAGCGGAACCAAGGAAGATACTGGCTCCTCTACCGTCTTGGATACAGAGAAAGCGGACTCTGCTGGTGCTGGAGGACTCGGAGTAGCATCTTCTGGGCCGTGAGGAAGGGCGCTTCGGACCTGAGCCAAATCTCAGGATCACAATTCCGATTTGGGGCTTTTATCAAATCAAAGGCCTTCAGAATTGGAAATCGGCTTCAAGCTTCTTCATGGTGCAAGAATGTTCCTTGAACGATTGCTTTCTCCTGCAGTGAAGTCATGGCCTCCTCTTCTCCCAGACGTCTAGAATTAAGAGGTTTTGAACAAGATTTTGAGAGAGTTTTGTGGCCCTGCCCTTGTTAGTTCCTCACGAAGCCACAGAAGGGGAGGTCTGGATCATGATCAGAGCTTGCTTTGGTCTTCTGCCCTGCTCTGAATTGCACAGTCCTCGGCTTACAATGATAATTAGGACCGGAATTTTTCACTGTCAGTCAGTATGGTCATAAAGCAAGACATCGCATGACTCCACTGATTTACAATGGCAATCCTGGCACCATCTGCTATGGTCATTAACAGAGAATTGCAGGTTGTTAAGTGATTACCTACCAAAATCCAAGGCCAGGCTTGATCGCTCTCAGCCCTGAGCCTCAGTAAAGTAAGGAATTACCTCCCATTGCCCCCAGCTGCCATTCCCATCTCTGCCCTTTTGCAATAGGATAGGTTAGGAGGGGAGGGAAGAGGAGAGGACAGGAGGGGAGAGGAGAGAGAAGGGGAGAGGAGAGGAGAGGGGAGGGGAGGGGAGAGAAAGGGAGAGAGGAGAGGAGAGAGAAGGGAAGGGGAGAGGGGAGGGGAGGGGAGAGGAGAGGGGAAAGGAGAGAGAAGGGAAGGGGAAAAGAGAGAGGAGGGGAGAGAAAGGGAGATAGGAGAGGAGAGAGAAGGGGAGAGGTCAGGGGTGAGGAGAGAGAAGGGAAGGGGAGAGGGGAGGGGTGAGGAGAGAGGAGAGGAGAGAGAAGGGGAGGGGAGAGAGAAGGGAAAGGGGAAAGGAGAGAGGAGGGAAAGAGAGGGAGAAGGGAGAAGGGAAGGGGAGAGAGGGTGAGGAGAGCGGAGAGGAGAGAGAAGGGGAGGGGAGGACAGAGGAGAGGAGATAGAAGGGGAGGGGTGAGGAGAGAGGAGAGAGAAGGGGAGGGGAGGGGTGAGGAGAGAGGAGAGGAGAGGAGAGAGAAGGGGAGGGGAGAGAGGAGAGGAGAGGAGCGAAGGGGACCCCCATCTCTGAATTCTTTCAAGGCAAATCCAGTCTGATCCTGCTTGTCCTTCAACTTCCTCCTTGGTTCCTGCTCTCCTGGTGTGCAGGGGCACCTCTGAACTGCAGCCAAGTGGAAGGAAGGGCATGTTATATGTATGTTTGTTTCCCTTGGAGGATGCCGGGGTGGAAAACTCACCTGATGCTGCTGAACATCTTTGTTTTTGGCAAAAAGAGCCAGGGAGAACTTTGGCAAGGTGGGGCAATGTACAGGTAGGGATATATGTGTGTGGCGAGGATACTGTGGGTATTTACACAACACTGCACCTGTAGCCGAAGAGCCAGGCCAGGCCACCTGCCAGGACAGGTTTTGGACACAAATGCCCCGAGGAAGCCAAAAGTTAGAAAGTTCAGGTGTATTGATTGGACTTCTGCGTATGTTTAGCCAAGCTAAACGAAACCTCCACTTGCTGGGGCAGTCTACCTGCAAATCATCTACTGGCTGGATGCAGGGGAAGGCTCCGTATCAGGACTTGGTGCGTTTCTCAAATGCCTTTGCTTACAAAGAACTAGAAGTGGCGGTGACAACCTTAGTTGTGGCCAAAGCATCTTTGGAAAGGGGCTCTTCCAGGTTCCGTGTTCCTGTAGAGCAGTGTTTCTCAACCTTGGAAGCTTGAAGATGGGTGGACTTCAACTCCCAGAATCCTCCAGCCAGCGCTGCTGGCTGGGGGATTCTGGGAGTTGAAGTCCACCCCTTCAAGCTTCCAAGGTTGAGGAACACTGCTGTAGAGGGAGAAAAACCAGGACTCGTTTTTACGCCGCTGCCTGAAGAGAACTTTGGAGCAGTTAAGGGAAGGATCCACCCGGGCCAAAGTCACAACCTATGACTTTCCCAAGGCAAAACCAGCCATAATCAGCTTTTGAGCAAACACAATAAACCCAGTTTTTAGCTTCCTTTGTAGAGTGATTCAAATGTTATGAGAGTCAAAACACAGATGGAGATTTCTGGGGATGGGTGGGAGGGACACCGACTCCATCATCCACCGCTCCAGGACGAGGCAAGGCAACTATGGGACCTGGAGGGGGGCTGGGGGGGCTCTTTCAGGAGCCAGCAAAAGGCGAATGTCCTGGGAAAGGCTGTTCTGCCTGTATACTGAGAGTCTCCAAGCATCTTCAGCTTTGTCTCCTCTGGAAATCTCTGGGGAAATCTCTTCTTTTCTTTGGTTGATTCTTGTAGCCAATTTTGAATTTCTCGAATACCTCATCGCTTCGGGACAGGACCACCACATGTGAAAGAAGGTACCTTGGTGACATCCACACTTCCAACATTTGGGGCTTACATTTGGATAGAATTTTGCTAATCTCACGGGCGCTAGGTGTTCTTGCAGGGTTGTCTGGAGGAGTGAGTGAAAACATGGGACTTTGGACCCCTGAAATAAAACTGGGGGTGGGAGGGAAATCTAGGGAACAGGAATAAGTGTCAAGTCCAATAATTCATTACAGAAATGGAACAGCCATTCGTCCGGAATGGTGTGTAGGATCTCCTGCTTGAGCAGAAGGTTGGACTGGATGAGGATCCCTCCCAACTCTTGTTATTCTGTTGGGATGCAGGGACTGGAGACTAAAACATACGAAGAACGGTTGCAGGAACTAGGCATGGCTAGTCTAGTGAAGAGAAGGACCAGGGGAGACATGAGAGCAGTCTTCCCGTATTTGAGGGGTTGCCACAAAGAAGAGGGGGTCAAGTTGTGGGAGCTTCATCCCTGGAGGTTTTCAAGAAGAGACTGGACTGTCATCTGTCAGAAATGGTGTAGGGTCTCCTGCTTGGGCAGGGGGAAGGGGGTTGGATTAGATGACCTCCAAGGTCCCTCCCAACTCTGTCAATCTGTATCTGGTGACCAGGAAGTGAGAAACGGAGGTGAGAAACGGCCATCCTAAAGAGTCGCCACTGAGGGCCATGTCCTTCCTGATGGACTAAAGTGCTCGTCGCACTGATCCCAGGCAGACCTTTCCCGAGACCCTTGGCCAAGGGACCCAGTGTTGAGAGCCAGATTTCTAAATCTCTTGAGCTACAAGGGGATTTTCTCATGGGATCCAGAGAGGGAGAGTCAAGGTAGCTACGGAAATGGTCCATCTAAAGCAGGAGTCTCCAACCTTGGCGACTTTAAGACTTGTGGCTGGCTGAGGAATTCTGGGAGTTGAAGTCCACAAGTCTTAAAGTCGCCAAGGTTGGAGACCCCCCGTCTGGCTGTCCAAGCACCCTCCATCTTCAAGGGCTGCCTCCATACTGGAACCGCTTGGCTTGATCTCTTCTCCCTATTTAATTAGTCGATGCCGAGTTTTAATTTCCTCTTTTCCCATCTTCGGACAATCACTGGAAACTTCTCTTTTATCGGCTCATCCTAAAGACAACGATTATCTTCCTGGTTTGTCTTGTGTGCTTTTCATTTTGTGTGGAAATATGGAGCCCAACATATTTAACTTCTGGTTTTTAAACCAACTAGCAATCGGTTGGCCTGAAATGATGAATTTCTGAAGATGGTGAGTTTGAGTCCCGCCTTAAGGCATGAAAGGCTGCTGGGTGACTTTGGGGCCAATCACCAAAAGATTGAGAATTCTAGTCCCGCCTTAAGCATGAAAGCCGCTGGATGACTTTGGGCCAATCACCAGGCGATTGAGAGTTCTAGTCCCGCCTTACGCATGAAAGCCGCTGGATGATTTGGGGCCAATCACCAGATTGAGAGTTCTAGTCCCGCCTTAAGCATGAAAGCCGCTGGATGACTTTGAGCCAATCACCAGAAGATTGAGAGTTCTAGTCCCGCCTTAAGCATGAAAGCCGCTGGATGACTTTGGGCCAACCACCAGGAGATTGAGAGTTCTAGTCTCGTTTTAGGCATATCCCTCTATCCGCCCAACTCACCTCACAGCCCATTGAAGACTAAAACCTAATCTACGCTTCTTTAGTTTCTTGTTAGAACAAATAATTCGTTAATTCATTCCTGTCTTTGGCCCGTTTGGGAGCCATTATTTAAACTCAGCTAGCGAATTCATCTAAATTCCCTGTTTGCACAACACATTTCATTAAAGAAGCAGCGAGTTCCATTTGCACAACACTCAAAACCACCTGGCAAACAAACCAAGCCTTGAAGTTAATAAAAATTTAACAGGTTGTGCAAATAGAGCCACGGGACTAATAAAAATAAATCTAAGGATGAAGCATACGTTGCTAAGGAAGGCCGGGCTCTACTACTAGATAAATGAATAAACCAGTCAATCGAACGGCCCCCTTTGATAGAAACGTATTTCAAACCACCGAGCAATTTTTTGGAGCAAGGAAACACTTTGGATTGGCTCAGAATAAAATGCAGATTTTACCCAAGGAAACTGCATGGGAAAGTTTTATTAGTATCGTCCAGTATTTGCCAAACTAAGTTGAACTCGGTGTACCCAGTCCCTGTCGATGATGTCGGATTCCAGTGTTTGATACGACGGACCAAAGTCCATCAGGCTGACAGGTTCCTACTCGGCTTCCTGAATTTTTATAGTTCACACAGCTGAGAAGAGAAACATAGGAACTGGACTACGCCTCGTTTTCCAATCCTGCTTTGATGCTTGGAAGAAACCGGTTTTTCTGTCGCTATCCCTCTCTCAATGCTGCACAACAACAAATGACCGACGAGGGTAGCTTGCAATCCCCACACTTCTAGAAGCAGGGGTGAAATGCTACCGGTTCGCTCCGCTTCGGGCAAACCGGTAGTTAAAAAAACCCCTACTGATTCCTCCAAACCGGTATTTTGAATGATCAGCTGTGCCATGCAGTTTAGTTTTTCTGGTGTTGTGGCCCGTCAGTGGCCTCTGCGAATTGTAGCTGATTCTGACAGCAA